CCCATCTAAGCATTGAAAACACTTGCTCCAGTTTTTTATACCCCACTCGAATGCTCTTGACAAATTCTAATTAGCAAAATTCTCCACCAACTTCAATGCACCCTCTATCTAGGTACTGTATATAAGCACCTCATTCATTTTGCGCCACCGGAATCACGATGAGAAAGTAAACAACACTGAAATGGACAAATAAATGTTGTTTTCCAGTTTACATGTAACAACTGCCATCAAACGTACATAGGAGAAACCGGAAGAACCCACATACAGGGATAGGAGAACATATTGACTCTCTTTATAAACAACATGAAAGAAGCACAGTTGCAGATAATTTTTTTAACTAATCATGGACAAGTAACACCTGACTTGAAACCAACATTATCCATACAAATCTTCACCAAAGCCACTAAGTACACTGACAGGAAATTGAAAGAAGCTCTTCTCATTGAACAACTATGACCAGAGATGAATAGGGGCAAAGAATGGTGCCTATAATTTTAATTATTTCAATTTTATTTTTTTATCCTATTTTTTTATTTCACTCTGTAATCTTGATAGAACTTTTGTTTACTACAGGTAGCAGTTAATTATTTCAACAATACTTTTCATTCAATAATAAGCTTTACTACTTAATATGTCAAAAGCATGCTGTACAAATGCATGTTATGATTCAAATAGAATTTATTATTTAGAAGTTTGTACTGTCAGTTTTGGTTTGTGTTTTAGTGAACGTTCCTGAAGAAGCTGTAAAGCAAAACGTTGAGTGTCTAATTAAATAATAACAACATTTTGGTGTTATAAGGTCATTTATTTCTAGTATTAAGGTGTCTTCTATACACCAGTATGCACTACAGAAATTAAATAATAAAATTCTTCCTGGTTTTGAGATAAATGTCATCAGGGACTAGAGGTTTATTCTTAAGATGTTTCACAAGATTTTCCAAATCAACTGCTTTTCAACATAAAAAGTTAAAGCAAAACTCCTACCCATAATATAGTGGGTCATGGTGCACTTAAAAACATCTTTCTTTCCTTCTTGTACAAAAACAATAATATAAAAATGTTTTCCATTATTAATAATAAAAAAAACATAAATATGTTTCCTTCCCTTTTATTCCATAAAGTGCCAGTGATATCATCAGTTTATTTAGTAACTTAAAAACTGATCTAAAAACTGTACTTAAACTTTCAACAAGATACGTGTCATACTATCTAACTTGAAACAGCTTCTACTAAAGTTATATTATGTATCCCGTGTGAATGTGGTAAGAAATAAATGGAACAAACTCAATAACAAAATGAGATTGTTTAGAGACAACAAGATTATTAAAGCAATTGATTTTTCACAAACCATTACAGTGACCCTAGTAACAAAGCAAAATTTGCCTGAGTTTATTCCCCTAGCTTTCATTCACACACTAGACAACTCTTGACTTTTTCCTTAAGTCATAAACCTGGTATAAATTTCACTGCTGTTCTGTGACATTTCTATATGGTAAGAAATAAATGGAACAAACTCAATAACAAAATGAGATTGTTTAGAGACAACAAGATTATTAAAGCAATTGATTTTTCACAAACCATTACAGTGACCCTAGTAACATAGCAAAATTTGCCTGAGTTTATTCCCCTAGCTTTCATTCACACACTAGACAACTCTTGACTTTTTCCTTAAGTCATAAACCTGGTATAAATTTCACTGCTGTTCTGTGACATTTCTATATATCACAAACCCTCGTATCATTTGTCTTTATATACTGATTTTGTATATAAACCCTGTATACCTGGCTGTATATCATATCTGAAGGAGACAGAGCAATGTTCTGTTCAAACATGTACGTTTTTTACACAAATAATTTCATTATGTTTATAAACAGTAGTTGATTAATTTACTGCTATATTAGCAAAATATGCTTCCTTACATAATATACATATATTTGCTTCAAAATATCTTGAATGTACTACAAATGGCTTTTTTTGCAGTTAACATAAGCAAAAATTATATGTTCTAAAACCAAGAAACTTTCATAACCCCTCTCAACCTTAACTAGTTTTCAGTGACTTAAAAGTCTTAAGTTGGTAAAAATGATTAAAAGCATGCTCTAATGTAGATTTTTTTCACATTCTTCTTAAATGGTCAATTACAAATGTTTAAACAAAATGTGTGTAGAAATAACATTTGAATTCTACCTATTGTCTATCTTACTTGTTGCTATTTCTATGTGAAAGTCCATAATGTTTTTATGAAGATATAAAAAATGAAGGATCATTTGGTTTAAGGCTATCCCTACACATCCACCCCTAAGAAAAAAAAATGATAAAATTTAAACTTATCCTTTATTTCTCAGGAGTTAATACACTCCCCTTTTAAAACCCTTGTAAGGTGTTGACCTCTACTAATACTAACAGTAAATCATTCCATACAGCTAATCACCCCATTTTATTTTTCTAAATGAAATAAACATGTGTTAATGGGTGCCCAGCCTGTCTTTTTCAAATTTTAAACTTTGTCCACTTAATAATTCAGAACAAAGAAATCAAATGCTTTTATCATATCAATCCTCCACATAATCTGGTAAACTTCCATAAGATCACCTCTTACCCATCTTTCCTGAAGAGAAAAACAGTAATATTCCCTAAAACCTTTTCCAATAAGTTTAGGAGACCAAAACTGTATTCAGTTTTCCAAATAATGCATAAATAGTGATTTATATAGATATAATTACCTATTTTCATGTATAATCAACATATCAATGGCTCAACAGCAAGTCTGAGGGCTTAAAATGTTGCAAATTTTGTTCTGACACCCTCAGTAGGCAGAGAATAGATAGCCAGTTATACAGTTTTACCCTTAACAACAAACTTACCAGTTGAGCCAACATTCCAAGTCATTATGTAAATAAAAAAGCACTGACTCCTGAAGTACTCCATCAATAACAAATTGATTTTTTATCTCACCTTGGCTGCTTCCACAGTTCCATAGCTACCGAATTCTGCTGGTTGTTCCAAATGCACTTTACCTGTAAATATTTCATTTTCTTTTTGAGAATTAACACTGTGATCTTGTTGACTAATTCCATCAATGACATTATATTTCAAACTTGAGAGATTCGGTAACACTGTCACTGTTGTTACTGTTAGCGCTATTTCCTTATCAAATTCAGACACAGCTTCAACTGAGACCAGGAAGAGTTCTTGGACTTTTCTCAAGATATTTTGCAGATTTATCTTATCAACGACTGTATTCGATATCGTAATTTCTATCGCTTGGTCCATTTTACTTGATTACTGTAAGAAAATATCAATCGCATATTACGGCCAGTTTACATTAAAAAAAGTCGTATTTACTGATCGCCACCATCTTGAATTTGAAAATACACAAATGTATGTCAGATAAATTGAAAAAAAAACATAACAACAACCTTAAGTCACAAATTAATTAAGTAATGTAACGTGCAGAATATTTAGATTGAAAAATTAGAAAAGTCATGAAATGAAATATTACAATGAATTCATTAACACTTTATAATAATTTTTAATTTATTTATTTTAAACTTTCAAACTAATTCTGAAGGAAAATGAGCCAAAATACTTGCTTTCCATAAATTTGAAAATTATGGAGTTAGTCTGGAAGTATCATTTTATTTAATAAATAACAGATAGTTAGTGCCGTAAGCTATATTTTTAGTGTTGTAATTTGTAAGTTAGAGGGCGTAGAACGCCTAGAAAGTTCTAAGATTTGACCTCAAGATTTATTCTAACACATTCAAACGCAGGTTATAAAATACAACGTTCTGCGAAGCGTTGTAAGGTTATTTAAAGAGCGAATTGTTTCAAGAAGATGGTACTTTGTTTTTAAGATAGAGAGTGAACCAGTCAATGTGTTAATTATCGCGGTTATTTTGTACAAATAAGATGATTTGCTTTACAATAAAATTTGGAGAAGGTTTGAATGAGTAATGAAGAAAACTTTATTACAAGTTTAACATGGTAACAAATGTCCAACGTTATGCATTTATTACTATGCTAAACTTCTAACAAAATTTTCTTCATTACCCATTTCTAAATTCCAAACTTGACTGTCTAAAAGTGGGTTCACTGTTCTCAAACTTGATCTGTTTTCTGTTAGTTAACGTCAGTTTTAATGCAAGTTTACAGAAACTACAGATAACACGCAAACGTTTATTCAACGTTGTCATTTGAAATCAATTTTTGAACGTTTTTATTTGGTTTACATCTCAAGATAGATGAAAATATTAGGGACCAATTTCGAATTCGATGACTTCGTTACCCATTCAAGCCGTCTCCGACCATTATTAGGGACCAATTGTTCAAAAATTTTGAAATGCTATATATCGACTGAAAACATAATATGTTAATTTCTATTTATTTTTCATCTATGATAAACTTTTTGAGGCTAATAAGGTTTTAAAAATCTTTGTTGGCATTAGTGCCAAATGAAAATTCTCGAAGCAATAGGATGCGGTTTTGTTCTGGTCTGTTTTGTTCGAGCACGTTAGTCTGTCATATTGCTTGAAAGTTGAATATAATGTTACGACAGCGGAAGTCACGTGACTCTGCTGGCGCGTTGGCGCTGGTGGTCGTGCGTGATAAGTTTCTCATTGATCGGGGAAGTCCGCGTGTGTTCGAGATGTCCTCTTCGTTATATATAAGCCTGGCAGAGAAAGCCAGGACATATGAATGAAGAGATAGCAGTAGCTTCTTTGTGTTCCATGTAATTTATGATTCTGTTAGTTTCGAGCTAGTGAGCCGTAAAGTGTGTTTAGCACTGTCGAGAGCGAAGTTATCGAGATTGTGAATCGCTGTGATTTATAGCGTGTATTATAAAACTTGTTAAGTTTAAAGTGACGAGAAACAGAAACGTACTTATTGTGGAACTTCTGTGTACTAAAAGTTTGTATCCAGGAAGAATAAACTGGTTTAATCAAGAAAGGACTTGTATCACTGAAGATCCCCGGAATGAATTTCTTCCGGAAACAAACAAACAAGAAGATACATAACAATAACCTAGACTAGAGTACATAGTGTTTCTTGTTTTGTTTTTTTGTTTTTTTAAACAATTCAGCCTTCTCATTGTTAGTTTTTTTTTCATTTTGATCTTACGTATGTTTACTGCCTGGTTAGGTAAAACATAATTGTGCTGTCTATATATTTTTAGACTTTTAATATGTAGCTCAATAAAGACTAAAACTACAACTAAAACTTAAAGGAAAGCCAGACCATTGCGTGATTAATTATACCAATTAGTTGACTTAGCCCAACCCAGTAAAAGTAAAGACAATCTTTTAAGTACTACAATTTTAGTTTTAGCATAAATAATAAAGTATATTCTAAGTATTCTTTAAGTTAAACTTACACTTAAAGTTAAACTTAGAACTAGAATTAGAACTTTGAATTTAAACTAAAGATTTTACGAGTTGTAATAGTAACTGTCAACTTCCAGTGAAAGATATGAACATTTTACGATGCAGATTTTACAAGTAACTTGGACACTGTTATAATGATATATAATATAATCTGTAGTAATTAGTATAGAATTAGAACATGATTGCTGTGTTGATACAGGTAGCACATACTGTTAACGGTAATAATTCTGTTACGTCTAAGACCCTGTTAACTAAAGGAAGTTATTGTCTAAAACTAAAAGCAATTGTTGAAAATGTCATATTGGACAAAACGCAGATGACTTCCTGCAAATGTTGCAAAGCACATTGAAAATATTACAAAGAGCAATCTATAATTTTCAATTGAAAATGGATTCCGATATGGTACATTACCTCCTTTCATATAAATAGCTATTCTCTTTCAGTGCTGCCTCTATATGAAAAAAAAAATTATGCATGCCACAAGCCTTCTATCTCCCCTCTATTAGAACTGACTAATTGCAATGCATCTCTCATGCAAATCATCATGCATCAAGCCTCCACCAACAAAAGTGCACCATACTCTCATGACGCATGTGGTCCCCTCTTTGAATTCCACCAAATTATGACTTCTTTTTTGACAGTACTTGTGTTCAAAGGTTTTTTTCTTTTGGTGCTCTTCATGTGAATCGTGATTTTAAGAGTTAAATTGCCGAAGTGAGATTTCATCATTATTTTTTCTTTTTAACGTTGAAGAAATCTTTTAATTTAACTTAATTTCTCAGTCTTTATTTTTCTCACTCTCGCATATTTTACATCAAATGCATTTGTTTGATTTATATTTCTACAATGAATTCTGAGGTTCTTGTTCCCACTTCGGGTATTATACCTTTAGCACTATTTTCACAGACTGCAGGTGGGGAGACCCATCGTTGGATTTTTCTGCTGTTATTCATCGTGAGATTGATTGTTATATGGGTAAACCACTAATCCTTCTGAACAAGCCAAACCTGTCTGAGCCATTGAAGATTTGATAGCCTTTTACACCACCAGATTTTGCCATGTTTTCCTTACCTATCCTGCAGAGTCAGCAAGGTCTGATACATCATTTTTCTATGTGATTTCTCAGGTATGTTATGTTTTATCCAATTCCCCGTTTTTCTATTATTTCTTATTACCACCATGTTGGCTTCTTTGTTGTCTCTGGCTCTTGTTTTACACACGTGGTTTCACTGTAGTTGGGGTTTTCTGGGTTGTGATGTGACCTTGTCTCAGGGACTTTTGCTGCCTCTTTCATTTTGAGATTTCTGTATTTTTCCCTGTGATGATGTATCTGTGACTTTGGAATCTCGTGTGTAGTCAGTGTCAACACTCGACCCTTTCCTCTCTAGTTGCACATTTGTCACAGTTGGAGCCATAACATGGCCCTATTCCTTTCCCATCCTGGTCCTTATCTACCCGTCCCTCTACTCCTTCCAGGGGTTTCTAATCTTGTCCTTTTATTCAACATTGATGGGCATGTTGCCAACAGAAAGTTCTAGTCCAGTGTAAGCTTGATTATGTTATATTGTTACCCTTTGGTGATCTTTCACTCCAGTTCCATGGGTTCTTCGAGTTTTATCAGATGGACCTGCCATCCAATTCCTTTCCACACCTCCTTTGTCTCTTGTACCTTTTCCTTCCCCATGACTTGGGATCCTGCCACTAGCCTGCATTTGTCCGAGGTGGTACAAGATTTTCTGTCTCTACAGATTGTTGCACCTGCTCATCCTCTTTCTCCTAGCTGTTTGTTATCCTCGTGCCAAACTACAGACTGGTGGCCTCTACTAGGTTTGTCCTGCCTCATTCTAATTTTCAATCTGCCCCATTTTACCTTGAAGTCGTTTCTCAACCTTTTTCTCCAGGTTGATTGATGACAATGAGGAATGTCACGAACGCTTATTTACATATCCCGATATTTTATCACAAGCAACACTTTCTTCAGTTTATTCTTCCTCGGGTGGTTTCTCTATTTTGTGCACTGCCTTTCAGACTTGCTTCAGCCATTTATGTACTGTCTAGCATTCAGGTCATTCGTTCATCTCGTATATGCTCTCAGGTTACACTTTCTTCTTTCTTTGGTCGAGTCTGCCTGTTACCCTTATCAGCTGCTCCTGGAGATGGCTATAATGGGCTGTTAAACAAGTTGGAGAAGTTCTTACTGCGACTTATCCAATGTCTTGTTCATTTGTGTGTTTTTCTTTTTCTACATGAATCTCAGTCTGGCCCACCCTTCTCCTCTTCAACTTCATTCGATGGATTTTCAGTTTGATTACATCTCGAGAAGTTCTATCACTTTTGGAAATATGATCGTCCATGGTAGCCTTAACCCCTTAGGTCAGGCTCATATGTGGGCTTTTCACGACCAGTGGAATTTAGTAGGAATCATTTGTTGGCTCTTATTACCCTTCCTCCTACCCTGGTCATCGATATGAAGGTTAGATATGACTCACACTTCTCCGGTATCCCACTTCCTTCTCCTCATTTGGTTTTCCACATTTCATAGATGCATCCTTTCGGGGATGAGGGACGTGGGTTGATCAACTGGAAGATTTGGGTTTTTGGTCTGCAGCCAAGAGGTCTTATCCTATCAATGTCATGAAGATTCTCGCTGTATGTCGTGTTTTGGTTCATTTTATCCATCTGGCCAGAAATAATCTGGTAATGATCCAGTCCGACTTTTTAATTGGTTGCTTACCTCAATCACCAGGGCAGCACCCATTCTCCATCTCCCAGTGTTCATACACTAGATCTTCTTTTTGGGCTCACATGCTCGATATTCCTATCATTGTGTATCATGTTCCAGGTGCTTTCGCTCTTGTCAGGGATCAGATTCCTGTCCAGACAACATTTATTTGACCGAGTGGTCTCTTGATCCTTTTGTTTGCCAGTGGCTTTGACTTCAGTGGAGCACTCCTCACACTGAGGC